TTACTTAAAAGTTTTCCCATCCCAAGTGCAACAGTACCCTATTTAAGAAATCATCCTCTCTGTCAAAATCACATTTTAGGAAAAGTCGATATTTTCCTGATAAAATGAAAATATTTAAGATAAACCATATCAAATAAATATTAATTCAGAAAGACTAGGTTTATTTCCATGTTTGGCATAGTAACAAAGTGCTAATGGAAAAATTGTAGTTTTAGTTTAGAAATTCAGCAAACCTTTTCTTGCTGCCTTATAGCAAGCTAGTGTGTCTTGGCTCAGATTCTGCAGCAGATTGATGGGGACTGGAGGGGTTAATAGACATAGAAAGGCAAAAATTCACAATGACGGAAAGGGGAAAACAGGCATGAAGGGAAGGTCGTTACTGACGCATCTGTCACTGAAATAATGGGGAAACAGCATATTTGCTGAAATACAGAGGTAACTTTTTCAATTTGGTAAAAGCCAGACATGGAGTCTTACATTAGGTGGCTTTCCTTATTTAGGTATTCAGCACAGGGAGACTGACTGCATTTTTTGCGTAGTGTTTGTCCTGCACAGAACTGTTCCTTTATTATAATGAGAAATAGTCCCCTAGTCAGTTTGATGCTATTAAAAAGAACTTGTGCTCAGGATGGCAGTGTTAATCCCTGGGGAAGCCAGAGTAGTCTGAAAGTAGACACAAAAGGATTTAGAGATGGGAGCTAAAAGCTTAAATACTTCTGGATTCAGTTTCTTCTGTATCGCCACAGACCCTTGAATGAGGAAGAGTTGCTCCTTTAGAGACTGTTTTTTCTTTCAGTTGAATACATATTTGAGGTTTCTAATTTAAATTTATGCTTTTGGATAAAATGGATGAGAGAGATTGAATTGGTGCAGGCTAAAGGGAAGCAACAGAGTTCATGTGATTCTGAGAAACCATATCTCTGTTAAAAGAAGTTTTATTGTGAAATGACTGGAGTAAAGAAAAAAGAGAATGAACATTCATCCACTTACCCTACTACGTGCTAGGCACAGTAGTGGATGCTTTTCCATCCATTGTTTCATTCAACCCTTGTCTTTCTAGATGAGGAAATTGAAGCTCAGAGAGGTTGAATGACTTGCCCAAATAATACACAGCAGTGAGTAAGAAGATGGATTGGTTCTTTCTGACTCCCAAACCCACACTAGTATTACTCCTCGGAGGTTAGGTAGCTGACATCTCAGGAGGCAGAAGTTTTCTATTTATTTCAAGAGCAGGTTTCTTATAGGTCTGGCTCTTCACTCTCTCCCAGGTTGTCTTAGAACACAGGATTTAACGTACTGCCTGTGGAACCGAGGGTACCAGCACATTTTTCTTGACCTTTTGGGTGGCTAGTCCCTTGCTCAATGTTCATCTCAAAATTGCAGCTGCTCTTGGGAGTTTGCTGTAACATGAAGACTGTGTTGTTGGCTTTATTCTCTCCGATACCATTATTTCAACACCAGTGAATGGTATCCAGTGTACCCTGCTTAATTGGCAGATTTCTCAGCTGTTTTATGGCAGGTTCTTTAGTATCTTTATCTTCATGGCCATAGTCAAGAAACTTGTTTTTATTTATTTAAACATGATTGTGGGAGAAGTATGTAATTACAGTAAGCCTTTTGACTGTGCTGGAACAAATCTTACCCTTACCTGAAAAGCTGGTTGAGGAGGGTTGTAAGTGGCAGTGTTACTAATAATTTTTCTGTACATCAATTCAGACCACAGCTATTTGAACTGTGATCACTCCTTAGCTTCTAGGTATTAATAACTTGTGGTTACTCACAAATCTAGATAGATTCAGACCAGTGACCTTGAGTTGAAATATTTCCTAAGCTGTGATTCATCTTTTGCCCCATTCTTTCTTTTTACCAGAAAATACATTGAATATTAATTTTAAAAATTTCAATTATTCCTTCTGAAGAGTGTCTTGCTCATTAAAGTTGCTGGGACTTGTTTTCTGCTAACCAGCAGGGCCACAAAACAGTCTGTACTCAGTGGTTACGCTGAATCCACGTGTTAAGCAGAGGAAGACATTTCATTAACTGTCTAGAGGAAGGCTGTTGAAGATGAGCCCATTCTTTTGGACTCCTTTCAGAGAGCTTCGTTTCTTTCACCAGAAGGATGGGGATGTGGGAGCATGAATCAGAGGCTGAGTGGAGCAGGTGATATGTGTGTGTGTTTGTATCTGTAAATACCGCATCGCTGTTCACAGTGCACTGCACTCTTCACGCAAGGCCTGGTCAGGCCAAAGCAGGAGGAATTGTTCCCGTGCTTAAAGCCAAGAATAACATCCTGACCAGCAGGGGGACAGAGGTCAGCCCAAGGCAAGGGCTGTTGGGAGCTACAGGACATCAAGAACCTTGGAGGAACTGAGTTTAATAAAAAGGAAGGCTCGATGTACTTTGAAGGAAATGTGTGAAACCTGTGTGCCTTTCTCTTACTAAGGCATGGTTTATATGGAAAATGAAAAGCCACCTTAACAGAGGGATATATGATGAGTTCCTATCACTTCCTGGTCATTTAGATCTACCCCTCCTGCCTATACATTGCTTTATCTGAGATTGTATACCCAGCTAAGGAGTGGGTGAAGTATGTTCCTGTTATTCTGGTGTTTTATTCTACAGGCAACATTAGAGAAGCCCATAAAAGGACTGGATTTCAAAGATAATACATTAGTTGAAAAACAAATACCATTTACAAAGTCTCCTGGGGACCTTCCTGACTGGTTGGAGTTTTGTTGGTGGGATCTTTCTGTGCCCACTTTTTCTCCCTTCCAGCTTTCCTCATTCTGATGCTGGCCCCTCAACTCCACAGAGGCAACTCAAACTATTTTCTTGGGAGCATTCTGAGTTTGTTCCGTTGTCTTCTCTGGGACTCATTTCTCTGGTCTGGCTTCAGCTGGTTCTGAGCCAAAGTGATCTTCTGAAAGCTTTTCTTTATAGCCTTTATTTCCTGGATCTTTTCGTACACTTTGCCCCATTGGTTTTGCTGGTTCTCTCCTTTTCCAGTGATGTAAGTTATATTGGCTCTGTTGAAAGGCTCTAAAGCTCAGATCCAGCCTCCCAGGCCAATTAGACTTTTCCCTGGTTTATAAAATATCGTGCCCTTTCCTAGAAATTGGGGGATGAATCAGGTGCCATGACGTGAGGTATTGCTGACTGTCCTGCAGTTCTAGTTTGGTTGTTTAAATAGTATGTAGCAATTTGGATTGTATTTTCCAGGTAGGACTTGTTGCCAAGACTCTGAAGTAGCTCATTGCTGTTAACTTTTTCTCCCCTTATTTTTCAGTTGAAAAATTAGTGAAGAGAGAAAATTATCTTGTCCATAGTCACTTAGTATGTTGATCTTACACCTTTCAAAGCAAATTTGTATTCCTTATACTTCTTAGCACAGGTACTAGCTTAACAAATAATAGGTGCTTAATAAATCTGAATAAATAAATCTTAACTGTGGGTTGATCAAGAATAGTGGTATGGTTAAAATTCAGAATTCTCAGCTGGGTGGGGTGGCTCACACCTGTAATCCCAGCACTTTGGGATGCTGAAACAGGAGGATTGCTCGAGGCGAGGAGTCAAGGTTACAGTGAGCTGTGATCACGTCAGTGTGCTCCAGCCGGGGTGACAGAGTGACACCCTGTCTCTTAAAAAAAAAAAAGAATTGAGAATTCTCATCAGGTTGATCATATTGTGAACCAACAGCTGAGAAAAGTTTCTGAATGGAAGGGACAGAATAGTCACGCAGAGAGCTTTTAGCAATTCAGAATGCATGCAAAAAATCTCAATTCAAATCATTCTAAAATGAAGAAACAAAAGGGTAGTTTGGCTGGAGAGGAAATTGGTTATAATGTAAGGAGAAATCGGGCAAGAAAGCATAAAAACATGAGTTAGTCAACATGTAAGAACAGTTCTAGAAACAGGCATCTTGTCAGCTTGTAGTCAGACCGTGAAAATGAAAATTTCCCACCCCTCCGCCACACCACCATGCAGCGGGGCTATTAATGACTCTCCAGGCACTAGTGTCCCCTTTTTGGGCTACCGTGTAAAGCATGAAGAGGTCCTGTGGGGTCAGTCAACACAAAGAACACTTAGCCTTTGATTTGTTAAATTCTTCTTAATAGTTTTGGTATTCTCAAATAGTTCTGCTAATTCCAGTGCCAGAACCATTTTCTGATTGTTTTGCTGTGTCCAATTGGCTTGTGAAAGGCAGCAGCTGAGATTGCTATACTACACTGTACATTATGCAATAATCCCTCAGAGGGCCCAGCCACCCTTTTTTCCTCTTAAAAACAGCAACAACAACAACAACACCCAAAATAATTCTGTTTTTTTGCTTTGGAGCCAGGAATTTACATCTTGTTTTGGTGTCCCCCTCATTAGTCCATCTCTGTGCTAAATTCCTGCTCTCTGAACCTGGCTCTGGCTTCTAGCCTCACCGAGTTATACAAAATTTTTTTTCTTTCTTTTTCCTTTCTCCCTCCCCTTCCCCTTCCCCTTCCCCTTCCCCTTCCCCTCTCTCTCCCTCTCTTTTTTCTTTTGACAAAGTCTTACCCTGTTGCCCCAGCTAGAGTGCAGTGGTGTCATCATAGCTCACTGTAACCTCAAATTGCAGGGCTCAAGTGATCCTCCTGCCTCAGCCTCCTGAGTAGGTGGGACTATAGGTTGCACCACTGCACCTGGCTAATTTTTCTATTTTTTAATAGACACAGGGTCTTGCACTTGCTCAGGTTGGTCTCAAACTCCTGAGCTCAAGCTATCCTCCCCACTTGGCCCCCAGAGTTCTAGGATTACAGGCGTGAGCCACCATGCCTGGATGAGTTATATAAATTTTAACTATTTCTGGTTTCAGACCAGTTTCTGCCTTTTTTTGTCTTTCTTTGCTCCCTGTAGTAAACTTTTGGTTCAGGCTTGCTTGGAGAAAGGATGATAGTTTTTGATTGCTTGTTTTTTGGTTTCATAAATATGTTCTCCTCTTACTCATGATTCTTACTCTCTTTGTCAAACAGGCCACCAAGCAGTTTCTTGAAGAGATTAACAAGTGGACAGTGCAGTACAATGTTTCTCCGCTCTCTTGGAACGTGGCTGTCAAGTTCCTCATGGCCAGGAAGTTTGATGTGCTCCGCGCCGTAGAGTTATTCCACTCCTACAGAGTACGTTGCTCGGGGTGGACCATACCTGTGGCAGTTGGGCTTTCTAAGTGTTGCTGTTCTCTCTCCCATGCTCGACACACACTTTGGTTCTCTACGTGTTCTCCACTGTGGTAAAAAATGGATCAGTATCCCAGAGCTCTTGTGCCAACTGATGCTGGGCAAGGCCGTTCCTGGAAGGCTCCCCTTACGTGCTTCAGTTCCGACTGTAGACCAGCACGCCACTTCTAATGATTGAGACTGAGGAAACAGCCTGACAGCATCTTGGTGGTGGGATAGCGGTTCACCCTTCGTAGGGTTTGAGTCCTAGCTCTCCTCACTGACCTCTGGCCACGTGCCCCTTTTACTCCCCTGGTTTTCAGGATCTTTGGGGTTTTTAGAAACTTGCCATTCAGATGAATGCTGAGCTTAATAGGCAGTTCAGGAAGGGAAGCTTTCGCCCTGGAAAAGAACTACTGTATTAGCTAGGTCCATTTTCTTAACAGTACTTTATGTAATATAGCTATATTAGCATTTTACTATTTTTGATCTTTGTTTTGGTTTTTGTTATTTGAGGGGGCACAGACTCTGCATCTGTGCTTATGTTTGCTTTCTCAATGAGCACTATCCTTGATAAACACTGTGTGGCATGTTACTTTGGGTTCAGAAAATCCTTCTGAAGAGATACAAAATCTCCCTAAATTAAAAAATAAAATTTGGCGGGGTACGATGGCTCAAACCTGTAATCCTAGCACTCTGGGATGCCTAGGTGGGAGGATCTCTTAGATCCCATCTCTACTAAAAATGGAAAAAATTAGCTGGGCATGGTGGCACACGCCTATAGTCCCAGCTACTAGGGAGACTGAGGCGAGAGAATTGCTTGAGCCCAGAAGTTGGAGATTCCAGTGAGCTATGATGATGCCACTAGTGTAGTCTAGCCCACGTGACAGAGTGAGACTCTGTCTCTAAATAAATGAATAAATAAATAAATAAGCAAGAAAGCACGCACTAGGATTAGTTTAGGACTAATACACTTGTCTTTTGGGTCAGCTTATTCAGTATTTGCTCAACAGATATTTATTGTATACCTACCATGTTCCAGGTATAGAGATTACTATTTAGAAAAAAAGAGTAAACAATTATAGAAATGCTACAATAGGGCCGCATGGATTCTGTGGAAGCACATTGGGTTAGGAGGGTCAAGGAAGCCTTCCTGAAGGAAATGACTTCTACATTCAGATCTGAAGTATAAGCAGGAATCAAGCAGGTGGGGGAATATGGCAGAGAAAACAGCAAGTTCAAATGCTCAGTGGAAAGAAAGAAATTCAGCTGAGCAGAAATGTTGAGTGTGGGTGGGGGCATGGTAAGAGATTGAGCAGCAGAGGTAAGCAAGGCCAGATCAAAGAGTATCTGCTTTTCCTGAAGGGCAGAGAAGTTCATTGAAGATATAAGCAGTGGAATGATTTGGTCATATTTGCATTCTGAAAAGATTTTTTTCTCACTGTGCTTTGGAGTATGGAACAGAAGGGCTGTGCTGGAGACAGACCAATTAGAAGGCAGTGTACTTACTGGGAGAGATGATTGTAGTGTTATTAAGAATAATGTCGGGGCCGGGCGTGGTGGCCCACACCTGTAGTCAGTCCCAGCTTCTCGGGAGGCTGAGGCAGGAGGATCACTTGAGCCCAGGAGTTTGAGGTTGCTGTGAGCTAGGCTGAAGCCACGGCACTCTAGAGGCAACAGAGCAAGACTCTGTCTCAAAAAAATAAATAAATCAAAAAGAATAATGTCAGGAGAGATGAAGAAAAGTAGGCAGGTTCTAGAAGTAAAACTGTTAGGACAGGGTTGCTTAAACTGGTATGTAAGGAGGGAGGAGTCAAGGATTTCAGGTTTCTGACTTGGGTGTCTGGGTAAATAGTGGTGGCATTCACTAATTTCAGACACACTGAAGTGGGTGCAGGTATGTGGGGAGAGAAGGTCATGAGTTCAATTTGGTCATGTTAAATTTGAAATGCCTTTGGGATATCCAAACAGACATGTCCTCTAAGCCTGCCATCCCCAACCCCCGGTTTGTAGCCCGCTAATGGTCCTTGCATCACCGCCTAAGCCCACCCCTACCCCACCCCCGTCTGTGGAAAAATTGTCTTCCATGAAACTTAGGAACCAGGCCTTACAGCAGGAGGTGAGCAGCAGGTGAGCGAGTGAAGCTTCATCTGTATTGACAGCTGCTCCCCATCATGTATCGGTGCCTGAGCTCTGCCCACCCGCTGTGGAAAAATTGTCTTCCCTGAAAGCAGTGGGCCAAACCGCTCTGAGCTTGGGATATGAGCCTAGAGTTCAGACAAGAAATCTGGACTGGGAATAGAGATTTCAGACCAAAGTAGAGCTGAATATTGGGAGCCATGAGAATGGATGAAGGTCATCATGGGAGGGTATGAGAAATAGGAAGATAAATAAGACAGAACCTCACCCCAGATCTTTTTCTCTCTTTGGTTCCACTATTGTTTTAAAAATTGAATTTGAATGCTTTAGGTAAGGCATGCACTCTCCTGTGATCCCGTGACTAATATTGTCTTGCCTCCTTGCCTGTGAAAGCATCTGAATTTGATTTTATGGATGGATTGGAGAAGAATATAAACAAAGCCCTAGTTTGTTTTATTTACTGGGCACTTAGTTTAGTGCCTGGCACATAATAGTTGCTCTACACATATTTGCAGGATGAGTTAATGAGTCAGTGAGTGAATTGATTGAGCAAATGAAGGAAAAAATGCCCACCAAAGACACTTTGAAATAGTTGAAGAAATAGGAAAAACCAAGAAGAAAAAATTTTTTTTGGACATCATGATGTGGAAAGATAGAGAATGTCTCCACAAAAAGGGAATGTGAGTGATCAACCTTGTCATTGAAAAGGACGACTGAACATGTCCAGTAGATTCAGTTCCATGAAGATCCTAGTCGCTGTAGCAGAAGCTTTCAATGTAGTTGTCGGATTGGGAGGAAACCAGAATGCAGTGGACTGAGGCTGAGGGAACTGGGGATGAGCTTAAAGAACCTGGCCATCAAGTTGGGTGTGGTGGTGTGTGCCAGTAATTCTAGCTTCTCGGGGGGCTGAGGTGGAAGGATTGCTTAAGCCCAGGAGTTTGAGGCAGGGCAGCCTGGTCAACACAGGGAGACCCTGTCTCTTAAAAAAAAAGGATTTGGCCATTGAGATGTGGAAAATGACATCATGGTAGCTGTTGTTGGAGAGGGCCTCAAGTGGAGGGAGAGCTCCTGTTTGCAGGAGCAAAAGCCTAAGCCTGGAGCATGTGTGAGGATGTATGCTTCCAGATGATTTTGGGGTCCATATTTTAGTATCATGGTACAAAGTCAGCGCTGCTGCATGTTTTAAGAACTTTGATTCTGCACCCTAATGTTACATACTGGTTGGTGTTCAGGGTTGGGATTCTTACTGATTCAGTGAAAAATACCCTATATAAGGGGCTGATAAAGTGGCTTTGGACAGGAATTCTGATAACATTTAGCTGACCTGGAAAGGGGTTACAAAGGAATTCATAATTCATTTAGTTGACTTCTAAAGTCCCTTATCTCTGAGATTTGGTGGTTACATGAAGCTGTGCTGGACATACAGTATTTTTGTATTAATACATCTTGCTGTGCTTCCTTTTTAGGAAACTCGAAGGAAGGAAGGCATTGTGAAGCTGAAACCTCATGAGGAACCTCTCCGTTCTGAGATCCTCAGTGGAAAATTCACCATCTTAGTGAGTCTTTATGGACCTATCTTGTAGGGCCTCATTACTTCCTTTGTAGCTGTTGTCTTGTGGACTTTGTTCCTAGATACCATACCCTGAGTCTAGAGAGTGTCCACAGTCAGGAACAGATGTGAAGCAGCCGTGTAGTTCGGCACAAAATTATTTTAGTGATAATTACTAGTAATTAGAGTTACTAATAATAATTAAATGATTGAATTATGGAAAATCACTTGTACAGAAGCAAAGTGTCTTCATTGATCCATCAGGGTCTTTGGGATGACTATACAGTGTACCAGACACCCATCCTTCCTTATTTAACACAAGCTCTTCACTTACAAGAGACCTCAGCCTTTCAGTAAGTATATCATGCTACTTTTAAGGCAAAGTATGGAAACCATGGTCCTGTTCTATGATTCTCTCCTGCTGCTTAATTCTTTTGCCATCCTGCCTGGGAAATTAGCTAGGAAGCCAGTGCAGAACCATCTTTTGATCTCTGCAGTTGAAGAGCAAAGAGAATGTGTGTTTTGTTTTTTTTTTAACCACAGTAATATGGTCCAGGGGGTGGTCTCCAGGGAGAATCAGGCATGGGATGATATTAATAATCTTCCCTTTTGGGAGCAATTCATACAAATTGGGGAGGTATTGACAGCATCTGTTCTTTTCATGTATCAAACCCTTATCCAACACATAAGCCTTAGTGAATATTGTGATTTTCTATTTGATTTCTTAATGTTTCTTGTTTTATTTGCTCTAGAATGTTCGGGACCCAACAGGAGCCTCCATTGCCCTCTTTACCGCCAGATTGCATCATCCTCACAAGTCAGTTCAACACGTGGTACTTCAGGCTCTGTTTTACTTGCTGGACAGAGCTGTGGATAGGTGAGCATCGAGATTATCTTTTAGATGGTCTGGATTCACATAGGAAAGTGACAGTTTTTGACTTGATTAAATTCTGTAGTGCCTTTACCGTGTTCCTAGGATGTGTTCTATGCAGTGCTATGAATAGAAAACAGTCCATGTCCTTGAGGGCTGGGCGTGTTTTCAGGCACCATCAAGATAGTGGGTATTCTTTCTCTTTACCACCTTGGCTCTATTTCAGGATAACATAAGCTGAGAAAGTCAATTATTAGCAGTCCTCAGTGTATGGAGAATTACTTATTGGAAGAGAGTAAGGGGGAGATGACTTGCACTGGTTGTTTTGCTTGTAACCAAGACAGTGTCTCACTCTATCATTCAGGCTGGCGTGCGGTGATATGATCATAGCTTATTGCAGACCCTAACTTCTGGGTTCAGGTGATCTTCTGCCTCAGCCTCCTAAGTAGCTGGAACTACAGGCTTGTGCTACCAGGCCCAGCTCTTTTTTTTTTTTTTTTTTTTAATTTTTAGAGATGGAGTCTTGCTGTGTTACCCAGGCTGGTCTGAATCTGGCCTCAAGCAATCCTCCCACCTCAGCCTCCTGAGTAGGTGGGGGACCTCAGTTTCTTTGTCTATAAAACGAATAATGCTATTTAGCTCAGAGGATTTTGAGAATCAACTTTGAGGAGAGGGGAGCCCAAAAGTATAAAGTTAAGCAAAATCACCTTTATAGTAAAAACAGTTACATAAGCAAAAAGAACCAGCTCAGGTCATCTCTCCCTCCCACTCTAAGGTAAATGGTATTATTACAATTCTATTGACAAAGAAACTGGAAACTCAGGAAGTTATGTCACCTTTATTGCAGTCATCACATGTTATTCCAACTGGGTCTAAGATCCTGGTTTCTTTGCTCTTGGCCAGAGCTATTTGTACCCTGCTATATTATCTTCTGCTGTTCTTCCTTTTCTCCCTGGTGCTTGCCATTTACACTTCGTTACTGCTCTTGACATCTTGGCGGTCCTCTGGGTTAGAAGTGCTATATCGAGGGCTGAGAGCTGAGGTAGTGAGAGATAGCTGTGTACACGGTGGTCATGCTGTGGCCTTGCAGGATGGGAATAGCTAAGACATTCTCTGAGGTGGGGCTCTCTGTCTAGTTTACTTGTTACTGCCTTGTTTATGTTCGTTTCACAGTACTTAGTTCTGCCATTGATGCCCAGTGGGAGATACAGCTAAACCACACACACAGCATTATTTTGAAAAGGAAATGTTGTTAGGGAGTGAGGACCAGTAGTCTCAACAGCCCTGTACTCCTGAAGCGTAAGTGTGGAATTTCTCAGTTCCTGTGACTGGCCTTCAGGCACAGTATCCAGAATGTGCGTTCCTTTGAAATGCTCCTTTAGCTCAGGAGAATGAAAGGCTCCTTTTTTTTTTGGAGACAAAGTCTCACTGTGTTGCCCAGGCTAGAGTGCCGTGGCGTCAGCCTAGCTCACAGCAACCTCAAACTCCTGGGCTCAAGCGATCCTCCTGCCTCAGCCTCCGAGTAGCTGGGACTACAGGCATGTGCCACCGTGCCTGGCTAATTTTTTCTATGTATTTTTAGTTGTCCTGATAATTTCTTTCTGTTTTTAGTAGAGATGGGGTCTCACTCTTGCTCAGGCTGGTCTCGAACTCCTGACCTCAAGCAATCCTCCCAAGAAAGGCTCCTTTTTCAAAAGATCCAGTATTGGCCTTCCTCCTCGGGAGGCTTAGAGAGTCAAATTCTCACGTAGTCAAGGCAGGATGCATGGCAGTGGCCAGTCGCACAGGAGAACCACATGGGTAAACATAACAAAAATTTTGTTTTCATGATATCCATCCCTTTCTTAAAAACCCTCAGTGACTGATTATGCAAAGGGGCATATAAGCAAGTAAATGTGAACCGTTTTCTTTAAGCAAAATATTCTCTCTAGGGAGTAGGAAAATCTTGTTTTCCCATGTTACCTTGAACCAGAATGGTCTTTTCTTTCTCTTCCTCCGTACTATTATTATTTTTTTTAGCCAGTCAAATTTATCAGTGGTGGGTTGAATACCAACTTTAGTGACACTAATGTCAATAAGTTCTGATAACCCATTACCATCAGACTAGCTCTTCCTCTGTACTGAATCCCATCCTTTTAAGGACCAGCTTCCATGACTGGCTCCCTCACCACTCGAACCTGTCATAAATAAAATTGTTTTTTACTCTGACTTTAATAGCAGCCATCATCAATACCAGTCATTATGTACTTAATTATACATGGCCTTATGATGTCATTTATCTTATACTGTTATTAGATTTTTTTCATCTACCACTAGAACATGAACTCCTTGAGGGTTGGGAACCTTCTTTTAAACATTATATAATGGACTCCAGTCCCACTGCTTCACTTGACCAGCCTTAAAAAAAAAAAAATTATATAATGGAAAATTTCCAAATCTCTGTAAGTGGAAAGAGAATGGTATGTGAACGTCCATACACCCATCATCATCATCTTCAGAGAGATCTGTAACAGTCTTGTTTCATTGGTAGCCCCTCATGTACCTCCTACCCTTGATTCTTTTGAAACAAATGTCAGAGACTGTTTTAAACTTCTTGGTGTTCCCGTAGCATGTAGTTCAGGAGTCAAACTCAACAGGGAAGCAATCAGCTATCATTGTAAATCTTACATTCTACACCTCAGAAAGTGAAAATCTTACTGCATTTGTATTTATTTCATGTGCCTTCATAGGATGAGCAGTTTGATCCTGGACTATGGAATCCAGATCATTATGTATCATATCTCATTTTTATTAACTTCTCTTTGCCCTGTCACTGAACTTTTCTTTTTTTTAGTCCCCTGCCACAAGCGGAGCCATGAGAGAAAAACCCATAATTCTTTGAATTTGGCCCTCGATGAGCTCGTAGAGAAATGGAAAGTCTACTCAGTAATTGTGCTGGACATTTTAGCAGCATCTTAGATCTTAGTGAATCAAAGTCTCTCTGGGTTTGTGAAAAAGGAGCCGAGATTTAGCACTAATATAAGACATTAGGGACAGTTGAAACTAAGTCTGCTGCAGAAACTTTCATGTACCTCAGAATTAGAGATTTTTGAAATTTTATCTAATGAATAGGTGCTTCTGCCTTGGATTTCATTAAAAGGATGAGAAGGTATGGAGACTCCCAGGAGGTGATGCAAAAAATTAGGATACAAAATTACATTGAGACTCCTGATTTCAGGAATGTGTTTTGTGCCTAACAGTTTTTTCAGTTCTAAATAGATGTGAAAACTATTGCTATCATCTGTGAGTAGTCCAGTCAAATAATTTATTTGTATAAATCAAAAGCAGGTAAGGATCTGGCTTGGTGGAAGAGTACAACTTCGAGAAGTCTTTATGATTCAAGGATATTGAACTAAGGAATGCTTTTTTTATCTTCACATGTTCCTCAACTCAGTCTCACAGTAGGCTCACTATCTCTTTAATGTACATCCCTGCACCTCCCACCCCCATTTTCCCTGTAGCATTTATTGAAGAGACTATCCTTTTCCCACTGTATGTTCTTGGCACCTTTGTCAAAGATAAGCTGACTACAGATATGTGGATTTATTTCTGGGTTTTCTGTTTTGTTCGTGTGTTGGTCTGTGTGTCTGTTTTTGTGCCAGTACCATGCTGTTTTGGTTATTACAGCTCTGTAGTATAATTTGAAGACAGATAATGTGATTCCTCCAGTTTCGTTCTTTTTGCTCAGGATTCTGGGTCTTTTGTGGTTCCATATAAATTTTAGGATTATTTTTTCTATTTGTATGAAGAATGTCATTGATACTTTGATGGGGATTGCATTGAATCTGTAGATTGCTTTAGGTATATATATATATATATATTTTTTTTTGAGACAGAGTCTCACTTTTTTGCCCGGGCTAGAGTGAGTGCCGTGGCATCAGCCTAGCTCACAGCAACCTCACACTCCTGGGCTCAAGCAATCCTTCTGCCTCAGCCTCCCGAGTAGCTGGGACTACAGGCACGCGCCACCATGCCCGGCTAATTCTTTCTATATATTTTTAGTTGTCCAATTAATTTCTTTCTATTTTTAGTAGAGACGGGGTCTCGCTCTTGCTCAGGCTGGTTTCGAACTCCTGAGCTCAAACAATCCGCCCGCCTCGGCCTCCCAGAGAGCTAGGATTACAGGCTTGAGCCACCGCGCCTGGCCAATGCTACTGATTTCTGTATGTTGATTTTGTACCTGCAACTTTACTGTATTTGTTTATCAGTTCTAATAGTTTTTGGGTGTAGTCTTTAGGTTTCTCGAGATACAAGATCATATTGTCTGCAAACAAGGATAATTTGACTTCTTTTCCAATTTGGATGCCCTTTCTTTTCTTTCTTTCTTGGGTGGCCTAAACAAATTTATTTTCTCACAGTATTGGAGGCTAGAAATCTGAAATCAAAATGTTGGCAGGGTTGGTTTCTGCAAGCCTCTGTCGTTGGCTTGCAGATGGCCATTTTCTCTCTGTGTCTTCTTCACATGGTCTTCTCTCTGTCAATCTGGGTGTCCTTTCTTTCTCTTGTCTGACTGCTCTAGCTAGAACTTCCAGTACTATGTAGAATAACAGTGGTGAAAGTGGGCATCCTTATCTTTATAGATCTTAGAGGAAAGGCTTTCAGTTTTTTCCCATTCAGTATGATACTACCTGTGGGTTTGTTGTTTTTTTTTCTTTTTGAGACAGGGTCTTGCTCTGTTGCCTGGGTTAGAGTGCAGCAGCATCATCACAGCTCACTGCAATCTCAAATTCCTGGGCTCAAGCGATCCTCCTGCCTCAGCCTCCCGAGTAGCTGGGACTACAGGCATGCGCCACCATGCCCGGCTAATTCTTTCTATATATTTTTAGTTGTCCAATTAATTTCTTTCTATTTTTAGTAGAGATGGGGTCTCGCTCTTGCTCAGGCTGGTTTCGAACTGCTGAGCTCAAACAATCCGCCCGCCTCGGCCTCCCAGAGAGCTAGGATTACAGGCTTGAGCCACCGCGCCTGGCCAATGCTACTGATTTCTGTATGTTGATTTTGTACCTGCAACTTTACTGTATTTGTTTATCAGTTCTAATAGTTTTTGGGTGTAGTCTTTAGGTTTCTCGAGATACAAGATCATATTGTCTGCAAACAAGGATAATTTGACTTCTTTTCCAATTTGGATGCCCTTTCTTTTCTTTCTTTCTTGGGTGGCCTAAACAAATTTATTTTCTCACAGTATTGGAGGCTAGAAATCTGAAATCAAAATGTTGGCAGGGTTGGTTTCTGCAAGCCTCTGTCGTTGGCTTGCAGATGGCCATTTTCTCTCTGTGTCTTCTTCACATGGTCTTCTCTCTGTCAATCTGGGTGTCCTTTCTTTCTCTTGTCTGACTGCTCTAGCTAGAACTTCCAGTACTATGTAGAATAACAGTGGTGAAAGTGGGCATCCTTATCTTTATAGATCTTAGAGGAAAGGCTTTCAGTTTTTTCCCATTCAGTATGATACTACCTGTGGGTTTGTTGTTTTTTTTTCTTTTTGAGACAGGGTCTTGCTCTGTTGCCTGGGTTAGAGTGCAGCAGCATCATCACAGCTCACTGCAATCTCAAATTCCTGGGCTCAAGCTATCCTCCCACCTTGGCATCCCAAAGTGCTGGGATTACAGGCGTGAGCTACCACATCTGGCCTAATCTACTTTTAAAAATGCTTTCTAAGGCTGGGTGTGGTGGTGTGTGCCTGTAATCCTAGCACTCTGGGAGGCTGAAGCAGGAGGATCGCTTGAGCTCAGGAGTTGGAGGTTGCTGTGAGCTAGGCTGATGCCATGGCACTCTAGCCCAGATGACAGAGTGAGACTTTGTCTCAAAAAAAAAATAAATAAATAAGTAAAATAAAATGCTTTCCAAAGACCGTTTGTGGGTTTGTTCTTTTCCTCCATCGAGTTATAAGAGACAAATTCACCATCAATGAGCTTAGAGGAAGTCTTGTTCTACACAGTGTTCCACAAGTCTAAAATATTTTCTTAGACATGGGATTCCAGCCTGCTGAATTATAGTGCAGTGACCATTTATTTGCAGGGGCTGTGCTAGGGACTTTTGGGGGTAATGAGTTGAACAACAGGTTCTTGGCCTCTAGGAGAGAATCACATGCTATGCAAAGTCATAGTATGTTAGGAGCATGAGAAAAATCCATAGGAAGATTTATAGGGCTTCAAGGGAGTAAAGGATGGTAGTACATTTGATTACAGTTATCAGCGAGACCTTCAAGGAAGAGTAAACTTTTGGATTGAGTGTGAAATATGTTACAGGATTTGGTTAGGCAGATTCAGAGGGGTGGGTGAACACAGTTCAAATTTTGATAACCTAGTTGCTCTGGAGCATTGTCAACCTAGGAGTTTGGCATTTGGTAAACCTGGATAAATCTGCATTAACAAACATAGCAGATACAAAGATAAATTATCTTTTTGTAAGACTGGTATTCAGCCAGGCAGTTATTTTGGTCCCAGCTGTGTCCCATACTGTGTCTTTTTGTGTGTGTATGTTAGGTTTTCAACCTGCCTTATCCATCTTATTACTTATAAATGGTTTTCTTCAATGGTTGACTTACAGCTTTGAAACTCAGAGGAATGGACTGGTGTTTATCTATGACATGTGCGGTTCTAATTATGCCAACTTTGAGCTGGATCTTGGAAAGAAAGTTCTAAACCTGCTGAAGGTAAGGTTATGGGAGCGCCCTCTCAACTCTCCTTCAGTGATTAGGATTTTTTTAGTATTCTTTGGGAAAAGATTTAGGAATGATGTAAACTTCAGACATTATGTTCAATTTAAAGGTCACCTGTGAATAATGACTAATAATCTGCTTCCTTAGAATGAGAAATGATCTTTAAAGTGAAGTGGGAGGAATTCAAATAAAAAATGCACAGGAACATTCTGGGTCATAAAAGTGGGATGTTCCTTTCTTGGAGTTATATAGATGAAGAACTAATGAAGGCCAAGGTATGGCACCTGTGAAAAATGTCACTTAGCCAGTGACTTTTCAGATATTTTGGTCTCAGTCTAGTCAGAAATATGTTTTACATTTTGACTTAATACACAAAAGTGTATGTATGCTAACTATATGTATATATTAATACATGTAGAGTTGTACACATACATGTAAAATTATATACATATAGGTTCAAAATCCTGTATCCCAAACTCTTAGATTCAGAGATGTTTTTAAGTTTTTGAACTTTAAAAGGTAATGCATATATGCTACTGTATAGACACATTAGTGTGTCTGCAATAAAATGTATTATTATTCATAATTACTGGGGAAGAGTAAAGCATATGTCTTTTAAGGTCAGATTTTGCCTCCCAGTGAATTATTAGTCCAAACTTACAAAAGAAACTTAAGGTTTTCAGAGCTGTTTAGATTTCAGAATTGACAATGAGGGTATTTTTTTTGTGTACATATTTATAAAACAAAACAAAAAAGTTTCACAAAAGAAGATTTACCCTTATGTGCAGTCACTTTGATTATGCTATGCTGCTTCCTATTTTTAGAATGTCAGTCATGACCACCTAACCTGATTTCAGGACTTACTGAGTCATACCCTGTAGTTTGGAAGCCGTTGATCTAGGAGTCTATGTAGTCTTTATTCTAGGACCTTGTTTCAGAGTACTGTTGAACTAGATTTTTATTTTTATTTATTTATTTAAATTTTTTTCATTTCAAAATATTAGGGGGTACAAGTGTTCTTGTTACATGGATGAATTGTATAATGCTGAAGTCAGGGCTTTTAGTGTGCCCATCACCAGAATAGTGTACGTTGTACACGACAGGTAAGTTTTATCCCAGACCCTCCTGCCTGAACTAGATTTTTAGAAGTGTTTATTGACCTTACAGCTCTACAGCAGACATTGTATAAAAAGGGTTTTATACTGTATGTTGTTTTCTTAGACTCACTTTTTTCCCTCAACATTATACTTTATTACTAGCATTCATAATTGTAGCATGTAGCTGTGATTCATTCTTTTTTCACTGAGGGATTGAAGGACGCATTTCTTTTCATTCTTCATCCATTGAGGAATATACTAGTTTTTTCACATCTGTTCTGTTGATGGCTCCTTGGGTTGTTTGCTGATTTTTGCTACAGGTTGAGCATCCCTAATCCAAAACCTGAAATGCTCCAAAATCCAAAACTTTTTGAGTATTAACATGACTCTACAGTTGGAAAATGACTTCATGTGACAAGTAACAACTAAAATGCAATCAAAACTTTGTTTCATGCACAAAATTAATAAAAATGTTTTATAAAATTACCTTTAGGCTATATGTATAAGGAATATATGAAACAAATGAATTCATGTTTAGACTTGGGTTCCATCCCCAGGATATCTCATTACGTATATACAAATATTCAAAATCTGAAAAAAATCCAAAATTTGAGATACTTCTGGTTCAAAACATTTCTTACAATGCTGCGGTCCCCAATCCCTGGGGCTGCAGACCGGTGCCCGTCTGTGGCCTGTTAGGAACTGGGCTGCACAGTGTGAGGTGAGCCACCAGCATGCATGCAAGGGAAGCTTCATCTGTGGTTACAGCCACTCCCCATCGCTCCTGTCACTGCATAAGCTCTGTCTCCTGCTGTGGCATCAGATTCTCGTAGGAGCACGAACCCTACTGTAAACCGCACATGTGAGGGATCTAGGTTGTGTGCTCCTTATGAGAGTCTAATGCCTGATGATCTGAGGTGGAGCTGAGGTGGTGATGCTAGTGCTGGGGAGCGGCTGCAAATACAGATTATCACTAGCAGAGGTTTGACTGCACAATAAATGTACTGTGTTTGTATCACCCCCAAACCACCCACCCCACACACACTGGTCTGTGTAAAAATTATATTCCATTAAACCAGTCCCTGGTGCCAAAAAGATTGGGGACCACTGTTATAAAGAATACTCAACCTGTGTTATAAACATTTCAACATTTTTTCCCCCTAATATTAATAGTTCCTCTTTTTCTTCTTGTTTTGAGACAGAGTCTTACTCTGTTGGTGTGAGTAGAGTGCTGTGGTGTCAGCCTAGCTCACAGCAACCTCAGACTCCTGGGCTCAAATGATCCTCTACCTCAGCCTCCCAAGTAGCTGGAGCTATAGGCATGTGCCACCATGCCCGGTTAGTTTTTCTATTTTTAGTAGAGATAGGGTCTCGCTCTTGCTCAGGCTGATCTCAAACTCCTGAGCTCAAGCAATCCTCCCACCTCTGCCTGCCAGAGCGCTAGGATTATAGGTGTAAGATTATAAAAAGTAAAAGCAGTATAAAGTATTGTAGAGAATAAAATACAAAGAAGAAAGTTAGGGCTGAGAAGTAAAATAGAAAAAAATTTAAAAAAAAAGAAAGTTAAAATGATTCCTAATTTCACTTATCAGAGATAAACTCAGTTGAACTTTTCTTATAGTTATTTACAGTCTTTTTTGTGTGTGAAAGTATATGTATGTGTATGTATTTTTTAAACAAAATTATGATTATAGTTTTGATTCTGTTTAAGATTATATTGTGAGCATTTTCCAAAGTTGTAAAAATTCTTTGAAATCTTCATGGCAAAGATTATATAACAATGTATTGTAAGATATAATATTTTGTTAACTACTACCCATTTTTGGACTCATATATTCTTTTTAGTTTTGAAGTATTTTTAACTATCAAAAATACATTTACAGTAAATATTCTTTCCGCACATCTTTGTGTTTCTGATTATTTCTTTAGAATTGAGTCTCAGAAATGGAATTCATCAACAAATGTACATTTTTAAGGATCTGTAAAGCCAGATGCCTTTCCAAAGGTGTTAACAGTTTACTGACAGTCTGTGAGGGTCCTGTACAGACACTTAAATGGATTAGGCCTGGGTCTGTAGCTCTTTGCTCTGAGGAAGAAAGCGTGATGGCTTCTACTTTCTGTTTATCATTTTGTGGAAATATAGGTATTTCTCTAGACTGATTTTTGATCTGATAGTTAAAGGGGCCTTGGGTATTAGACCCTGAAAGGAGTTTGTTGCATCTTTGGAGGAGGTAGTTTCTCAGACTTTAGCCAGGGCCTTGGAAAATTTTGTTCTGGATGCTGTCTATTCTCTACAAAGGGGTGTATGGGGATCCCCTAAATCAGTAGTACTGAGGAATAACCGAAAAGATCAAAGAAAATGACTTATCAAATTGAGAATCAGTGTTTTGAAAATGGCAAAAAGAATAGGGTAGAACATATTTAGCTACTATTCTTTTTTTTGATTTCTTAGGAATGATTTCTTTCCCATTAGAATGCCAATGGTACATGGTAATCTTGCCCATGAGAAGGGATGAAATATTGAAAAATTAAACGAAACCAAGTGCTGTGCATTAGGAACGAATGAGTTTTCATTCACATCTTGTGCAGATCAGGGTATCTCCTGTTATTTTTTTAGACTTTAGTTGCTTTTGATGCACCCTAGATCATATTGATTGATTGAATAACTGAATACATAGATGAACTAATAGACAAAAAAGAAATGATTATACAGACACAGATTAGTAGACTGAATGAAAAGTTATGAAAGAGAAATGTTTCTGTAATGTTCAATTTATTCATGGTCTAATTTTTCCTTCAGGCTCGAATAAGCAGAACTTTCCCAGGATGCATGTGTGAGTGGTGATGTGTGGCATGTGGGACAACTGCTGATGAGAAAAGTCAGAGTAGTTCTTGATCCATAAAGCTCATGGTTGACATGAATTTAACATAGTTATTTTTAAAAGGTAAATCAACTTCTAATTTCTTTCTTTCTTTTAGCTACTTATCCTCTAACTACTAAAGTAAACCTGAAGTAGGCTGTAGACCCCCTGCTGGGTAAGAATGTGAAGAAGAGCAGAAAACCTAAACTTTGGGCTTAAACAGTCAAAATTCCAATTAGGTCTTAAATCCTCATACATTTTCTCCACAGGGAGCATTTCCAGCTCGTTTGAAGAAGGTGCTGATTGTGGGAGCACCCATATGGTTCAGAGTGCCCTATTCCATCATCAGCCTCCTCCTGAAGGACAAAGTCCGGGAGAGGGTAAGGCAAGCCAGCCTTTTCTTATTTGGAGGTGAATAGATACATTCCCATCTCTACTGGTGAAATCCTGCCAATTAATTTTCTACCTTCAAAAATATCCTCCTAGCTTGTCTCCTAGAGCGCTTTCTGCTTCTGTTAGTGTTTTCACCCACACTCTCTATTCATTAGTCAGCTTAGTACAGACTTCCTCTCTCGCTGTCCTACAGTCTCCTTGAAGTCAGGAACTGGACATGGTTTATCTGGCTCTCCCTTTCCATAGCACTTTGCATAAGATAGTGCTGAAGGAATGTGTCCTGGAAGTAATTTTGCCATGGCTGCTACTACCAGAATTAGCCTAGCACTGCATAGGACTTTACTGTTTAACAGCTTTTAATATAATTGCATTATTTGAACTGGTGTTTGAATTCGTCCAATTGGAAACAACCCATTCAGTCCCTTTGACCACCGGGATGGTGGAGGAGAGTCTCTTACTATGTCTCTTTCTATATATAGTCTTGACATTTTTTTTTTTTTTTTTAGACAGAGTCTCACTGTCCCCCTGGCTAGAGTCCAGTAACGCCATCATAGCTCACTGCAACCTCAAACTCCTGGGCTCAGGCAGTCCTCCTACCTCAGATTCCCAAGTAGCTGGGACTACAGGCATGCGCCACCATACCTGGTTAATGTTTTCTGTTTTTAGTAAAGACGGGGTCTCGCTCTTGCTCAGGCTGGCCTCAAACTCCTGACCTCAAGTGATCCTCCCGCCTTGGCCTCCCAGAGTTTTAGGATTACAGGCGTGAGCCACTGTTCCCGGCCTATTCTTGGCATTTTTTCTTAAAACAGTTTGTTGCTTCCCAATTTTTTAACTGTTGTCTAAAGTTACCTTAATTCTATTATAGTCTTTTGAGTGTACCAGGACTGAAAGATAACGTAATGGTCTCAGTCACTGATTGCAGCCCTTGAAAGATAAGGCATATAAAACACTGGCATAATAGGGTTAGATGAAATATTATCAGAGTTTTCTGTGGTAAGGAATTATGAAATTAAATGAATATTAATGCAGGTCTTTATAGCTGAGGTGAATTGGGCTGGAGAGGGGAAGTGAAGACATTTGGCTCTGTGGAAGCTACTTAAAGACTTTATGGCTCAGGTCATTCTTCCTAAGATAACTCTTTGAGAGACTCCTTAGGCTAGTTCTTGTACTTGAATTATAGGAATTATACATGCATATATAAACTGAAACTATATTAAGCTTCTTTTACAGTCCAGGCACTGGGTTCTGAGAATTAAAACTGAAGTGAGACAGTCCTTACTCTCGAGGAGTTCATGGTCCTGGTAGAGAACAGATAAACATGTTAGAGGACTTCAACTCTGCAGGAGCACACAGGAAGGATCGTATTGCCTTAGGCAGTCAGAAAGGGCCTCACAGAAGAGGTGAGCATGTGCTGGTCCTTGAGGAGGCAGAGGAAGAAAAGAAGGGATTCCGAGAAGAGGCAATAGCAAGAGAGACAGCTTTTAGGAAGAACAGCATTCCCATTCCACAGAGAGTCTGAGGAGAACCAGCTAGGCTAATTTGGTCCAGTATGGCTATATCTAAGCAGAAAGAAGAATTAAGTGGTAAGATTACTTACCTAACATTTTTCCTGGGCTACCCTGCCTCTGGGTGGTTTGTTTTCATAGGAACCTATCTTTGTGAACACCCATACCAAGCTGTGAGTAGAACACAAGCTAACAGGCCTAGAACTAGCTGCCTTAGTGTGAGGTTGAAAAAAATAACCACTACCTATGCATTCTTAGTGGTCAAAAAAAAAAAAAAAAAAAAGAGTACCACCATAAGATGGTACTGGGAAGCTTTGTTAATAGCATAAAGCCTTTGTTCACTATACTGTCCTTTCAGAAGGTATATAACAAGGCTCCTAATGCCAAGAGTGAATTTGATACACATCCTGGGAATTCAAACTTTTATCTGGTAAATTCACAGGACTTCAGTCCCAGGCAGATGAAATGTAGTCTACTTTTTTTACAGGCATACCTAGTATTTCAAGCAAATCTCATTTCCGAAACCTAACATACGCACACTTATTCTTTATATTCCCTCTCTGTAAGACTTTCTTCCACCACATACTCACATGGTTCTTTCTGGCCTTTCAGATTCAGATATTAAAGACATCTGAGGTCACCCAGCACCTGCCCAGGGAGTGCCTTCCAGAAAACCTGGGTGGATATGTCAAAATTGACCTCGCCACTTGGAATTTCCAGTTCCTACCCCAGGTGAACGGCCACCCAGATCCCTTCGATGAGATCATCCAGTTCTCCCTCCCTCCTGCCTTAGACGGGGACTCGGTACATGTTCCAGGTCCCCATGCTATGACCATCCAAGAGTTGGTGGACTATGTTAACACCAGGCAAAAGCAGGGAATATATGAGGAGTATGAAGACATCCGTCGTGAGAACCCCGTTGGCACTTTCCATTGTTCCATGTAAGTAGGAAAGGTGTGGGCCAACAGTTGGTTACCAAGATGCTTCTGGCAGGCACTGGCAACAGCTCTTTCCACATCTCACTTCCTTAACAGAGGCTCTTCCTTGTGTTAAGGAGCATCATTCTCACTTAAATGATGATTTCTCTCTTCCAGAGAGAGAAGCTCTGAAATTTATGAAGGTCTTTGGTACCAACAGGGGAACCCTGTTAGACATATTTGGGGATATTTTCCTGAAATGCAAGTTAAAAAAAAAAAGGTAGGCTCAAAATGGACTGCTCACTGTTCCTATCTTTAGTGTGAGCTCTAATCTGTTCTTTTGGACAGTTTCTCCCTAAAGCATTTATACTCTGATATTACATCTTGAGAGGTGCCTGGTGTGATTAAAATAATACATAGTAAGAGAGAAAAAGTTGCCTCTTAGGAATTTAAACTCTTCTGAATCCTACTCCAAAACCATCTGGCTAGTTTATAACTCTGATTCATAACTCCTTGGTAACTATTGTTGGCAATAGAGCACAGATCATTTCTCTTACCATGTTTTTTGTTTTGTTTTGTTTTTTGTTAAAAAGAAAGCATTTAATTTAACCACATTTAACATGAAAGTTAACATAAATATTAAGAAATGTTCTCATCTCGAAGACCCCTAGTCACTAAATGAAATGAGAGGGAACCTGGTTGTGGACTCTTACAATGTTTTAATTGGCTATAGCAGAAATCTTTTTCTCCAAATAGTGAGCTCTGTCTGTTGAACATTGAGGAAGCTGTCCGAGTGAGTCCCAGGTGCAAGTTCCAGCTTAGCCAAAAATCCACTTTCTGAGTGACACAAGTTATTTCCCTTATTGGCACTTCAGTTTTCCTGTGTGTAATATGTGACTATTGGACTGTGATGTCCACCTGCCTTAGTAGCTTAAATGTTTTAGGAATCCGTGACGCTGTGTGAGTCCCTCTTCTCTCTCATCATTCCTGTCCAGCTTTGTCATTGTGTTCAGAAGATGATGCGGGGAGAGAATCTTTAAGGAAAGAGTGAAAAGACTAAACTGAGCTAAGGAAAGTAAGAGAGAAGAGGCAATTGGAAAGAAGCCAATAAGCAGAGCAAGAACGCAAAGGAAAGAAAGTGGAGAAAAAAGGAAAGCAGACCATGTATCAAGAAGAGGGAGTATTCTTTTCTCCCACTCAGCTCTGTTTCTTACCTACCAGCTCCAGACCCTGTTTACATCCCATTCTCTTTCCCAATCAGAGCAGTTTGGCCGCCCGCAGGCATGTATCAAAGAAGTGCTTAGAGCAGGGAGGAGTGCTGGTCTGATCCAAGAAGGTGTACACTTATCCTGGGGATTCCTCACCTTGCTCTTGGTGCTTCTGCATTTATCCTCTGCTGTGAGGTCCTTGAGATGCCATTTCCTCTGTGGGCCCCCACTCCCTACCCATTAATAAAGTAGGTTGAGATTGTCCTCTTGGCATTATCCAAACTAGCTGTCACGTAACAGTCAGAGAATACATCACAGTCCAAAGATAGGACTTCCCAGTCTTGCCTTTTTATTGAACGATTGAGCCCTGCTTCATGATCTAGAACCCAGAATCCCATCAGCTCCGGGCCTCTTACCTTCTACAAAGTCCCAGCAGAACTGCTTCCCTTAATTTTTTTCTTTTTCTTTTTTTTTTTTTTTTGAGACAGGGTCTCGCTCTGTCACCCAGGCTAGAGTGCAGTGTCATCATCACAGCTCACTATAGCCTCAAACACCTGGACTCAAATGATCCTCCTGCCTCAGCCTCCCGAGTAGCTGCAGCTGAAGGCACGCGCCACCATGCCAGGCTATTTTTTCTATTTTTCGTAGAGACGGGGTCTCACCCTTGCTCAGGCTGATCTCGAACTCCTACCTCAAGTGATCCTCCCGCCTTGGCCTGCCAAAGTGCTAGGATTACAGGTGTGACCAATCCCAGTTATTATCTTTTTACATTTTTAATTTTTATCTTTTATTTTCCTTCTTTGCTTCATAAACATATGACTTGACCCAGTAGAACTCTTTACACGACATAAACTGTCTCCTTTGGAATTCTGGATTATAAAGTAGATATTAGAGTATTCACCGTTCCCCAGGATTCCCATAGACCAAGAGACTTTCTTTTTTCTTTTCTTTTTTTTTTTTATGAGCCAGAGTCTCACTCTGTTGCCTGGGCTAGAGTGCCGTGGCGTCATCCTAGCTCACAGCAACCTCAAACTCGTGGGCTGAAGCAATCCGTCTCCCTCAGCCTCCCGAGTAGCTGAGACTACAGGCACGTGCCACCATGCCCGGCTAATTTTTTCTATATATTTTTAGCTGTCCAAGTAATTTCTTTCTATTTTTTAGTAGAGAAAGGGTCTCACTCTTGCTCAGGCTGATCTCGAACTCCTGAGCTCAAATGATCCACCTGCCTCGGCCTCCCAGAGTGCTAGGATTACAGGCGTGAGCCACCGTGCCCAGCCCAAGAGACTTTCTTGCTATATCCAGTGAAAGAGAGAGACTTTTTCCTTTTTTCTTCTTACTCTTTTTTTTTTGGAGACAGGGTCTTGCTTTGTTACTCGGACATGAGGGCAGTGGTATGATCATAGCTTACAGCAACTGCAATCTCCTGGGCTCAAGTGATCCTCCTGCCTCAGCTTCCTGAGTAGCTGGGACTACAGGCGCATGCCACCACGCCGGGCTGATCTTTCTATTTTTTGTAGAGACAGGGTCTTGCTATATTGCTCAGGCTGTTCTTGAACTCCTGACCTCAAGTGGTTCTGTCTCAGCCTCACAAAGTGCTACGATTACAACGTGAGCTACCGCGCCCAGCCTCTCTGCTAACTTTTCATTATGAGCTAATTGTAGATTCACATGTAGTTGTAAGAAATAATACAGACAGATCACATGCATGTACCCTTTTCAGTTTCCCCCATGGTAACGTATTCCAGAACTGTAATATAATATCACAACCAGGATGTTGACATTGATATACTTTACCAATTTTATTCAGATTTCCCTAGTTTTATTTTGTGTTTGTGTATTTAGTTCTTATGTCACACATTTAGGTTTGTGTATCTTTCGCCATAGTCAAAATACAAAGAGTTCCATTACCATGAGCTCCCTTTTGTTGTCCTTTAATAGATAAACATACACCTCCCAATCCCTAATGCCTGCAACCACTAATCTGTTCTCCATTACTATAATATTCTCCTTTCCAGAATTTTGTTACATAAATGAAATCATACTATGTGTAATCTTTTGGGATTTCTTTTTTTCACTAGGCATCATTCTCTGGAGCTTCATCTAAGTTGCATGTGTCAATAGTTGGTTCCTTTTCATTGCTTGATAGTATTCCATGGTTTGGATGTACTAGTTTGTTTAATCTTTCCCTGTTGAGGGACATCTGTGTTGTTTCCAGTTTCTGGCTATTACAAGTAAAGCTGATATTAACGTTTGTGTGTAGATTTGTGTAAACATAAATTTCCCTTTCTCTGGGATAAGTGTTTCGGGGTGCAATTGCTAGGTCATGTGGTAATTGTGCATTTAGTTTTTGTAAGAAACTGCCTAATGCTTTCCAGAGTGGCTGTACTGTTCTCCATTCCCACCAGCAGTGTGCGAGCAAGCCAGTTTCTTTGCATCCTCACCAGCATTCGGTTGTGTCACTATTTTTCACTTTGGCTATTCTGATAGGTGTGTAATGTGATCTCTTGGTGATTTTAATTTGCATTTCATGTGCTTATTTGCCATCTATATATCCTCTTTGTAAAATGCCTTTTCACGTCTTTTGCCCTATTTTTAAAACCATTCACATTTGAGGGTTCTTTATATATTCTAGAAATCGGTTCTTTGTTGGATTTGTGGTTTGCAAATATTTTCTTTCAGTCTGTAGCTTGGTCTTTTTATCTTCTTAACAAGGTTTCTTATGAAGTAAATTTGTTTAATATCGATGAAGTCCCATTTACCAATATTTCCCTTTACAGATCATTCTCTTGGTGTTAAATCTAAGAACACTTTGCCTAGCCCTAGCTCCTGAAGATTTTTTCCTGTTTCTTTTTCTAAATGTTTTATAGTTTTATGTTTTGCATTTAAATCTATGATCCATTTCTTTTTAAGAGACAAGGTCTTGCTAATGTTGCCTCAGCTGGAATGCAGTGGCTATTCACAGGTGTGATCCTACTACTAATCAGCAAGGGACTTTGACCTGCTCCTTTTCTGACCTGGGCCAGTTCACCCCTACTTAGGCAACCTGGTGGTCCCCCACTCCCAGGAGGTCACCATACTGATGCCAGACTTAATTGCAGACCCCCAGTCGGCATAGCACACTACAGCCCAGAACTCTTGGGCCCAAGCGATCCTCCCACCTCAGCTTCCCAAGTAGCTCAGACTACCACAGGCCCAGCCTGTCATCTGTTTGAAATTAATTTTTATAAGGTTTGGATTGATGTTCATTTATTTGCCTATGGATGCCTAGTTGCTCTAGCATAATTTGTTGAAAAGAGTACCTTTACCATTGAACTGTCTTTGCAACTTTGCAAAAAGAATCAGCTGGGCATATTTGTATGGGAAGGGGGAATTTTTTAAGATACAGAAAAGTACAGAGTATGACACAACAAACAACTATGTTCCTATCACCAGACTCGACACTGATATTTATTAATATTTTGTCATATTGCTTCAAGTC